AACCCTGAGCCGGTGAGATTTGAACCGCTGACCTGCTGATCTAGCAGTAGCCTGCAGTGCTGCATTTAACCACTGCGCCACCTTGGCTCTTCTTGTAGTCTAAGTCGAGGACTATGAATTTTATCCTATTTTCTTTATATTGTATGTCACACAGAGTAAGTTGGGAGTCAGCCAACACAAAAACAAACAACAATAAATCTTTTACTACGACCAACCTTCTTGTGCTCCAGTGAACATAAAATAGGCTTTTGGAATATATCTTGAAATGTATCTTAAGAATGAAGTATACAAATATTGCTTAGGAAACACAGCTTAGGAAAACTGGAACGGTTGCTTATTTTTTTTAAGAAAATGTCAATGCTGGGCATCACTCAGTGAAATTTGAAAAGCAACACATATGATGCTTTGAATTTTACATTAGTAAGTAGTGGAGAGATCTGTTGTCACATTTTATTCTTAATACACCTCAGACTATTGGATCTCTTTGGAGAGGACAGATGCACAGAGAATATAGATATAAATATATACCTTCTTGCATGACAGCCATTCTTCATTTTTTATTTACAACATTACTGAAATAGTTTGGCAATCCAATTTTACTCCTGCTTTTATTTTCCTTGCTCCAAGTCTAACGCACAATCAACTTTCCAAGTCATGCCTTCGCTTTAGATGTTGGTTACTCCATTATCATATACCACAACCAAATCGTTTTCTTTGTCCAATTCCTATTCTTTGGGAATTCACATCAATGAAAGGCAAATCAAAAGGTCAAAACTATGATACTATATAACTTTGTACCAATATAGATCCTGTGGATTTATATTGATCATTGAACCAGTATTGAACCAATATGGATCACCAATCAAGTGACACTATGTTTCTTTGACTGTTCTTTCACATCCCAACCATTATGCCAGAGCTCACATACTGAAAACTGTAATTACCTTCCCGTAGTAAGGAAATGTAAAATGAGCATCCAAACAGTGAACATGCAAATAGGAATTGTTACATTAGCTGACCAAAGATGCAACAGTATTATTGGCTGTCTGCTATGAACGCAGTAAGACTATCAGATGCGGGGAAAAGTTTACTTGGAGTCTGGATGTCTTTTAGGATAGAGTGTTAGAGTGAACACTTTTTAAAATTCAATGTTTTTTTTAGAGATTTGATTGATAGATGTTTTCCTTTGTTACACTGGTTTTATTTTTATTGATACTGTATCATTTCACAATTGTGAAAGTGCTTTGGAAGTCAGTATATATGAAAAACAATACAGAAATGCTTTATCTACATTTGGATAAATCTATTTCTTCACCTAATGAGAAGGAAAGACTCACTGGAGAAGAACCTACTGCTGGGGAAGATTGAAGGCAAAAGTAGAAGGGGATGACAGAGAATGAGGTGGCTGGGGTGGTGGAGGTGGAGTCACCGAAGCATTAGGCATGAGCTTAAATGTACTCCAGAGGATGGTAGAGGACAGGAAGGCCTAGAGGAACGTTGTCCAGGGGTCGCGAACGTTGTCCATGGGTCCATGGATCAGATACAACTTCACAACTAACAACAACAATTTCCTCAGAATTACTTAAAGGATATCCTTTCTATGCTGGGAGATGAAGGAATTCCACAACAGCATTTAAAGAATGATTTATGTTATTTAATTTTACTACTTATAATAACCATTCACATGGCTCAAAGGGCAGGTGAGCCACTGGCCCATCCTTTCCTCTCAGTAAAAGCTTTTCTTTTTCAGCCAGGTTCAATTGTACTACCATAGTCCAGTAGGATGAATGGGAAAGAAAGGGATATTTTACAAGGAGATGTGAGAGGTAAGCCCAGGAAGCATGAATATTCTGTCTTTTCTGCCTTGCATACATTTGGTCCAAAATTCCACTTGTGATAATAATGGATTCTCTGTAGTGGAAGGCTTGGATCTGCTCATTCACAGTCTAATGTTTCAGAGAGGTCGTCTGGTTTTCTGAACGAATCATATCTGACACGCTTTCAGATTTTGAAGAAGCTGAAACCTGTACTTGAAAACAATAATTTGAGAAACAAATTGATTAAAGGACTTACCCTGAGCTTTCTTCCGAACACAGTAATTTTTCCTTTAATTTGTTCCTTTCTGAGACGCCACTCTATTGAATTTAAGCCATTTTCCATTGGCAGTGAAATATTGCATCGTCCTATTGCTGGGGTCACAGTCCCAGCTAGGACATGTGGCTCACTGTGGAAGCTAATACTCATCCCATTTGCATACATCACTCGCAGGGTGCCATTACTGCAGAGCTGATAGCTGTTTCTCACTTGATCTAGATCAGTCATTGGGAAGAAAAGAAATATTCCATAAGTCATACAAATAAATGTTTTACCTAACTAGCAATTTTTTCGTGATCTTTCTACAGCTGTCAAATGACATATTCCTACAATTACTATTTGTGTTTAGATAAGGCAGATATTTACTATATTATTGATTTATGTAGAGAGAAAGTCTATGAAATATTTGAAGCCAGAAGGCGTATTTCAGGTTATTAGAATGATATTTTCTGTTTGCTCCTTAACAGTAAATCAAATATCAATTGATTATTATAATTATTATTTTGCAAACCTCACTAATGTTTGTGAATACATGTATAATTTGAGAGAAAGTTGGTGGCAAGTGATTTAATTGAAGTGTTGGGTCAGCAAGAAATCTATTCAACCTGCAAATATCAAAAAAAGTGGCTGCAGCTTTTTTTTCCCCAGAAGAGACAGATTCATCTCTATTCTTTCTATACTGCCTTCAGTGCTCCCTTAACAGATATATAGCTCAGTTATAGATTAGGTTTCAGTACTTAAGGCATGATGCTCACACAGAATGAGCTGCCAGAGTCAATCTTTTGTATGAGTGTCACTTTTCATTCTGCCTTAAAGAAACATTACTAGCCAGCCTGACATCTGGCTTTTTATTGACTGGCAGAAGTTGCAAAATAAAACTTGATATTTATGATTGTTATATTCTTGACTGGCTGATCTAGTTTTCAGAATAGTAAAAAGGAATCTCTCCCGCAAGACAGTAGACAGCAGAGTGAGCAGCTGCCACTGAAGAACCACTATCATTTTGTAATAAAGAAAATATCTATCTAATTAATCATCTGCTGGAGAGAAATAAAAAATCATAACCCTGGAAAATAGTCCCTGGTTTGTGAGGTGGTTATTGTCCCACGACAATATTTATTTTTAATGACACTATTTTAAATTTTAAAACAATCGCTCACAAAATTCTTTTCATTTTAGATTAGTTAACAGTGTCACACTGCATAGGCAGCATTGAATAATTTCTTTAAGGTTTCCATTATCTTCTTTGCAGAATTCTGCTAGTGATTACATTTAAACTCCTCTTCTTAAGTTGAGAAATTTAATTACCTCCAAACAGAACAACTAAGATGCTTCTCTTGGCAAATGTCTCTTGAGCAAACATTGCCAGAAAAATGGGCCTAGGCAATAGTTAATACAGAGAAGAAACAGAATACAAGTGTTTGGGGTTTTTTGGTCATTATCTAACTGTCATATAGTTTGTACCTTTGTATCAACCATGCCTTGGGAATTTTTAAGAATAGAGATTCCAGAAAACAGAATGGCTTACCCTGCACAATTATAATGAGAGAAAAACCCACAATGGAGAATAAAAGACACTTTTAAAAGGAGTTGTCTGATCACAAACAACTCTAGTGTTCTTTTAGATAGTTGTCCTTTTCCTGATCTTTTTAAAAGTACATATATGAACAATTGCCAGGCTAACATTTCTGAATTATAGTTTTACTGACGACGGCATCAAATTTTGCATGCAGAGTTTGCAGATGGAAGACTTTACTAGCACTAGCAAATTGGATGAAATCAGCTCTCTATAATTATAGCTTGCTCTGAAGAAAGCAAATAAGCAAATAGGGTCCTTTGATGCATATTGTAATAGCACCAACTATTTATCCTCCTTAATTTGTTAACTCCGTATAATGAATTTAAATTCTCATCATTTTGGCCCAACAGGGCAAATAAGACGACTTTCTTTTTACAAAAAAAAAACAGCAACACCCCAAACCTTTATTCTACCTCATCTTGGCAGCATGTGCTCAAATTACATGGTTTTCAGTCCTCCTTACTGAATTAATAATAATTAAAAGACTATCTTAAATGATAAATAATGCAAATCACATGCAGCTTTGGGTGTAAATGGTTTTGTATTCATACCTCTTCAAGACTGTTGAACAACTGTCACAGGAAATAACAACTTTATAACAATTTTAAGGAATACGTTCAAAACAAATCAATAAGGGAATAACAGAGATTGCAACTGAAGATGCAAACCAGACAAGTAACCTTGCAAAGGGATAATAGAACCTTTAAATATGTACATAACAAATGTAGTTCAGGATTCAGTACACTGAGGTTATGAAGTGAGGTACATAGGATTTTCTTGTTGAAAATCTTTTTGCTGGGAAGAACTGCTTAAAGTTTTTCAGAAAGCCACATGAAGGATAAATCTTCCAAGGAGTGATATTTAATATTCATGCACTGGGATGGAGAACTTTGCCCAGCTTGTATAATAAATATCTGATGTTTTTGGTATGCATTGTAGATTGACCTGATAGCAAGAATTTATACAGTAACCATGGAATGAGACAGATAGGGAAATATGTATGTAAGAAAGCTATTCTTTGAAAATGTAAATTGTTTCTTAAAGAAGGAGAATCCCATTTCTTCCCTATGGCAGAAAATGTACTTTGATATCTAGTGTTTTTTATATTTATAGATGTTGATTTTAAAAAAAAGGATTCCTGAAAGTAAAAAATGGAATAATGCAATACTGCATAAAGGTCCAATTATGAACCACTTCTTTAGGTTCAGAAAGTATTAGAGGTGTTTTATTCCTGTGAGTCTTGTTGAGATGATCTTTTGATTTATTGGGGGGGGGGGGTGTTGGTTCAGGATACTGTCTATATTCTAATGAACTTTTCATATTGTGAAAGCCGCAACAAATCCTCCATTTGTAACGGGATATAAATGTGTAAATAACTAAGTAAATAGCTTTCTACAAAATCATAATAGTTATCTTGAAGTTTTCACTAGTGAGAATAAAGTCATCAAAATAGTTTCTACCACAATAAAATAGTTTATTTTACAGGCAAGCACATTGGCTGATATAGCAGGTAGCTTTCTAATGATTTAGTATCTATTAAATACATTGATTGAAAAGAGATTCTGGAACCTCACTCAATCATCTGTACAACTGACTAGCTTTGATTTGGAACTAGACAAGGTGCACAGCATAGGCAATCAAGAACTTCACCTGTAAATTGAGTACACCAATTGATATGATTTGTTTGCATTGATGCAGAGACACAAAACTTGAAACAGGTGAAATATTTTTTATTAACCAATGAAAGAGGTCACTGGATATCTTCAACCTAACTTTAGATGACCCTCTATATGGAAAAATTGTGATGATTGGTTTAGAAAATGTGTATACTGTAGACATACATCTTAAATATATAACTAGGTAGTGATATAGTTCAATTGTAAAAAAGGGCATTGAACAGACAGACACCCTGTTTCAAAAATAATTCAAGAAATTCTATACTGGAAGTAACAAATCTCTTTGTATCATGTTACAAAGAACATGATACAACTTGAATAGGAATAAGAAATGGAGAAAAGCAAGATGGTACATAGCAGACAAGTAATTCCTGAAATTATGAATCTTTTAATAGCAGTTAAGATCAGATTGGAGATTTTATGTTTTTTCTAAAATCACAGACATAAATGTAACCCTAGGAAACATTGACATGGGGCAAGAAGCTTATTTGATTACAAAATACTAGAGTTTTCTGCATTTAGGAGGTTAAAGGACAAATGTTATCACAGATCTTTAATTATGAGTAAGAAAGCAATGTATAATGTGTGGCAATTGTATCAGAGCATAATTTCCCCATGCAATGCTTTCTCAAATTTTGGCAACTTGTAATTGGCCCAAAGTAATTAAGGTTAATGTAATTTTGATTTCATTTTCCGACTCCCTAATTCATCTGTCCTAAATAATTTTTTTGTTTGGGTACATAAAACTATAGGAGTAGGATTTTTGGAAGAAGAAAAAGAACATTTCTATCAAAAGATGTTTTGTCTGATGACCAAATGGAGATGTCATTGTTTATTCTCATGCCAAAAATCTTTCAAAATCTGTAATAAATTTCAGACACACTATGTACATTTACTCTCCCTTAGTCTTCAGGGAATTTTATGTTAAATGCTGAAAAGGCATTTGCTGTTGAAAGGAAGATAATCTATATGAGATTTGTTTTAGACAGGAAAGCAGTCAAGCGAAGCCAAGCATAAAGGTGCAACACAAAAGGGGTCTGTCATTTGTCATATAGTAGTGATATGTTGATTTGTCAAACAAGAGACGTCAAATGGAAATGTGGAACTTCACAAAGTAATTTAGCAATTGAAATGAACAGAATATATTTCCCATTTAGTTATACTGAACAACACCGTGTCACCCAGTTCTTTTAGGATATCATCAGGATATTGATACATTTTAATGAAAAAGTGTACTATTTCCTCAATTATCAGTCTTAGCTGGAATAATTTTTCAGCAGACTTAACAAATAATAGGTAAGTAAATTATTAAGATTAAAGGTGAATAGAGGATGAAATTGCAATCTCTCCTTCAAAGAAATAAAACACTGGAAGAAACAGGATTATATATTTCAAAGATTATGGAATATTATTTAGATGGAGGTACTAATAGAGCACATCAATATTTAATATTCATGCACTGGGATAGAGAACTTTGGATAACTTTCAGTTGGTGAAACTAGAACCTGACAATATGAAAAATAATGTTGTTTTTGTAAATCTTTAATTACTTCCATGATTCTTAAATTGTTTAGTATTTGGGATTGCCTAAAAATAAAACAATTAAAATGGTTTTGTCATAGAAGCTAGAAGTTAATTCCGCTACCGTTACTGCTACAATTAAATAACATGGATGGGATCATAAGCTATTTCTCTGCTATTAAAGATTAGAGGCCTTCCAAGATCACTTCCAGAGGAAGAGGCCCAAATGAACAACAATTCCTGTTAATTTGATGCATCAATTTCTGACAATGAGTATAGGAGACAACCTTCTACTTACCTTCAAAATGGACAAGAGAAACATGTGCCTTAATTCTAAAGCTCCCAATCCTGCTGCACATTAAACATGTATATATATTTAAACATATAATGTAATTTGACTTCTA